CCTTGATTTTTCATACGTTGCGATCACATGATTATTGATTTTATAAATGCAATTATCCTTCATTATTTTGTTTATTACATGTATGTATCTATAGAAACTCCCATCGTGGCGCGGCATTTCATCGGTAAAAATCGAGAAAAATGCAACATTAACCGAAAATGAGAATTCTACTATCATCGCTCAGAGAATTTTAGCCTTATCCAAAACTAAAAATTCATTCCATGAAAAAGTGTAATATTAGTTCAAAGGCAAAACGGCATAGAGCATGGTCATATCCGGGTGGTATTACCTGTTCAAAGTGGGCGATAGAGTCGTCGACTGCTAAGCTCATATTGCATCTCTCATTTGGTGCCTCACTCATTACAGACATAAGTCTGAGCCAGAAAAACTAAGCGTTTGCTAGATTAACATGCATGCGTCATTTCTCCAAAATTATGAAATGGCAGCTCCAAACAAGATGTCTGATGCAGGAGACAGGAAACCTTATGAAGAAGCAACTGATGAGGAAGCGGTGAGGTGGCTGGGCATATAAGTAAGGGAAACCAGGGTTTCAAATTATTTTTAGGAAGCAGAATTCTGATCGATCGCAGGCAATAAGAAAAGTTGGGGGCGAGATTGACAGGGTGGTGAAAAATCAGCATTAAGAACTCGTGATTCTGACACATGGCTTACTTTTTTTTCGGATCTCAGATCACGGTCAATGATTCGAAGTTGCACCTTCGTGCGTGAATATCGTGTACAAAATTCGTAAAATAATAGGTCACCTACAAGCCCAAAATTTTAAGGCAATTATTACTAAAACAAAATATAATCTACCTGTATCTCTGAAAACTGTAATTTGAGTCTTACATATTTATTTCAAAATGCGCATATTCCGAGAAAGTGGCTGAAATCCTCGGCCAACTCGGATTTTTCTCGATTTTTACCGATGATACGTAGGAATGCCGCGCCACGATGAGAGTCTCTATAGACACATACTGTAATAAACAAAATAATGATAGATAATGGAGATGTTGCATGTGTGAAGAATTTGCGAATTGACTGTTGATTCTTACGTAAAAATTCGCGAGAAACACGATGTTGCCACTGGTTTTCTCTGAAATCAACTCCCAAGCCAAAAAAAAATCTCAAGTTGAGGCCGAAGTGGAGGGGATATCCCAAGCTATCCTGAGAGTCCACCTCTTAATCAAGACAAACTCTCTATGCAAAGATAGGGTGCAGGTACATTGACAGGTCTGCCACTTTATATGGGGAGTCCACGACTGAAAACACAGCATCCATTTTGGCCTCAACTTGGGAGCTTTTTTTGAGCTTGGAAGTTGATTTCAGAGAAAGCAATTGCCACCATCGTGTTTCTTGCAAAATTTTACATTAGAATCAATTGTCAAATCGCAAATTCCTCAAACATGCAACATCTCCATTGCATTTGTATAATCAATAATCATGTGATCGTAACGTATGAAAAATCAAGGGTTTTGGTATTTGCTGAATGTGCTTTACGAAGACAGCCTCCAAATACTGAAATAATGGGCCTGTTGCAAACTTTTGCTAGAGCAAAACTAAGAGTTGTTTCCTGCAGATAATGCCCCAAAAATCACGATGAGCGCATCGGCAAAGTCTGAAATGCACTCATAACTTCACAATCTGCGTAAGATATTTGCGGTTTTTTGAGCTTCCCGCTTCGGAAACGATACTACGGTACAGGTGAACATTTTGTTAGAGGAGTCGTTCCATTGGCGACAATACTCATCATGGCCGACACCAGTCCGCCAAAACACGTGTGATGGGACGAGATAACACCTGAACAGGATTAAACCATAACAATCGGCGTGTTTACGTTCATATTTTCCTCGCCCGCCTTAATTGACCTTGAACTCTCCTCGAATTACGTGAGGAACTGCGCAAGCGTCGACCATGATGATTATTGCCGACGATGGAGCGACTCCTCTAACAAATAGTTCACCTGTGCAGTAGTATCGTTTTTGAAGCGGGAAGCTCAAAATAACGCAAATTTCTTACGCAGATTGTGAATTTATGAGTGCATTTCAGACTTTGCCGATGCGCTCATCGTGATTTTTGAGGCATTATCTATAGGAAACAACTCTTCATTCTGCTCTAGCAAAAGTTTGCAACAGGCCCATTACGCGGTTTTCTGTAATGTTAGGCAATAAAATATGGCAACACAAGTTTTTCTTTTTTTTTGGCGGGGGAGGCTTTAATCCATTAAATTTTTGGAGGAAGGTTATGACCAGCTGCGTACATTTTCCGCCAAGGAATCTATTTCTGGTTTAAGATGAGTCGTCCTTTTTATGCCATTTTAAATAATGATGAAAAACAAGAAAATTCTAAGAAGATCGTTTTAACTCCGAGCGCAAGGTTTGCCATCAACGAAAATGGAGATGTTGCATGTGTGAGGGATTTGCGATTTGACCATTGATTCTTATGTAAAAGTTCGCGAGAAACACGATGGTGCCACTGGTTTTCTCTGAAATCTACTCCCAAGCTCAAAAAATGCTCTCAAAGTGAGGCCAAAATGGAGGGAATATCCCACCCTACCCTGAGAGTCCACCTCTACATCAAAACAAACTCTCCATGCAAAGATAGGGAGCAAATACATTGGCGGGGTTGCCACTTTATTTGGCGATTCCAAAACTGAAAACATGGCATCACTGCTAATGTATTTGCTCCCTATCTTTGCATGGAGAGTTTGTTTTGATGTAGAGGTGGACTCTCAGGGTAGGGTGGTATATCCCCTCCATTCTGGCCTCACCTTGAGAGCTTTTCTGAGCTTGGGAGATGATTTCAGAGAAAACCAGTGGCACCATCGTGTTTCTCGCGAACTTTTACATAAGAATCAATAGTCAAATCGCAAATCCCTCACACATGTAACATCTCCATTGGCCAAACTGACTATCTTACATCCTCAATGAACGTACTTGAAGGACAATATTCTCCTTCGATGATGGGATCTTTATGAAACAGCGTCACGGCGAATGTCAAAAAACCAGCATTTTTCGCCAAAAACGGCCTTCAGTCTCATGTTTAGGCCAGTTTTAGACCCCTAAATAGACCGAAAATGACAAAATCATGATACATTCCGCAAACTTTAGACTTTAAATGAGCAAACAATCGTAGAATTGAAGAATTTGAGGGTATGGGCCCAACAACGGCCCTTATCGAAACCTCTCCTTTGGCCAATCCCTTAATATCAGTCATTTACCGGTCTGCGCCTCTAACTGGCAACAATGTCGACAGCCATTTTCGATTCGGAGGCTCAATTTTTTGTAGGAGTAAACATCTGATCTCCTATTCGAACTTCTTGACCCAAGAAACTTAATTTTGAACGTATTGTTTGTTACAGCTGCCCTAAATGGCAGTTTCATCCACGAGACCGGTGGCCATTTTGGGCGCCATCTTTGATTTTAGGGCTTCTCGAGAGCCGCTGCGGAAAATGGACCTCATTTTCGGACTCTACGACCCTGAAAACCTAATAATTGATATCTCACAATGCATGTAGACCCGAATAGACAAATTAGTACCCGTAAGAGGTATTTTTGGACACCATCTTGAATTTTGGCCTGTAAATGATCTTTGGGCTAACTTTTGACTAAAAATTCGGATTCTACGATCAAAAATACATCAGAATCGACACCCGACACGACGTATTTGCAAACTATAAATTTTTTTACCCCAAAACCGTCATTTTGGCCGCCATCTTGAATTTGGGGGGTTTGTATGAAATTTGAGATGGCCATCATCGATTTTCTTTTTCTAGACATCAAAATGAAGAGATTGATGTATCACACAATATGCCTTCACGAACCTGCACACGGGACATATGTTTTGTTACGTATGCCCCCTGACTAAAAGGGAAGGTTACCATACTGCCAGGTAACGAGCGCCGCTGCAAACCGCGGGAATTCATAGTTCGATTCACCATACTGATGGGTCATGTTATCGTGATCTGTGTTTGGTGAAGTTCTCATGATTGATGTTGTTCTTATGAAAAGCCGTATAGTTGTGCCGTTTTTTTACCGAACAGTATGGTAAATCTAAATCAATTCGTGGTTATGTACTTACCTCATTCTTTCTTTTCCGTGCACTCCAAAAATGACCTGCTTTCTGGGCCGTCGATTCGGCCATCGAACCGAGTGTGAAATGGAAGCTCATAATGATCTGATGCTCAGAGAAAAAATTCAATAGGAGCGTAGGAACGGTGTCCGAGAATCGGGGGAGGGGGGGGGTCCGATCTTTTATTCGCTGTAATCTTGTTGAATGGATGTTGCCGCGGGCTTCTAGTCGTTGTTCACACAAGTTCAGCCAATCGACACTCCACAATTTTTTACGTAAAATTCGATTTTCACGTCAAGGAATCGATACATCGATTCGCTTTATCGATTTTTCCGGATTTTACAAGGGACATTGGTGGTTTCCGGCTTCGATATTTGTCAATATCGATTAACAAAAGAACTAATGTCCCTTGTAAAATCGGAAAAAATCGATAAAGTTAATCGGAGTATCGATTCCTCATTCTTTTATTTTCTAGGAGCTCGAATGTTAGGAAAAATCGGCGAAATCGCACGATGTGGCTACTTGGAGGGGTTGAAAAGGGCATTTTAAAAATGATAAGGTACGTAATTATGATGTGGGTAGATGTTCTTATGATACCCATGTAAGAGGAATGCCGTATGCTCCGAAGCGTACTTCAAAGCTGAAAACAACAGCTTCCTTTCGAGCTAGTGTTTCTTACCTGCTAGCGTTTTAAACAGTTACCTACTTACAATAGTTGAGGAGATTAATTTTGGAACTATAAGATGGGATGTTGAGGTGCTTTTTTTGAGCCTTTTCTTCTCTTAAACTCAAAGAATGAATCAATATACTTCGGAAGTAAACACATGAAACATTTCTATTTCTATGAAGGTCATCCCCGATTCATTGCAAATAGGTACCTCCATGACGCACAAAAGTTAAGAATTATTAAATACTTCTGGAGGCATTACCAACGCTATGTATCCTTCTTCAGTCACAACGTAGTAGAGAGTTCTGTTCGAAGGATGCAAAGAAAGGGACAAGCCAGCCATGAGTCTTTGAGTAATTTCGTCCGCTTGTTCCATTTTTTCACTTCCTGAATGTTCGTGAAAGTACTTCAACTTGATCAACTCTGATTGAAACATTTCAAAAGTACCATCGTTAATATATATCTTTTACTCAAAAGTTACAGTTGGGAGAAAAGGAAATGAAATAAAAACTAAATTTAAAAAAAAAAAAAAAAAAAAAAAAAAACAGAATGAATCCCTGTGAATCCTCAAGTAGCGTTTCTCAACGAAAAAATCGCCATATATTGCGATTTTATCGGCGATAAAATCGCCAGGATCATCAACATCCGAGCGATTTTATCCTCGATCTTATCGCGATAGAATCGCGCTTTCATCGCGCAACAATTTATCGCGATATTTTCGAAATAAAAAATCGCGATAAATGGCGATTTAATCTCGATTTTATCGACGAAATTTGATCGCGATTTTATCGAACCAAATTTGTAATATGTAGCGATTTAATCGCTATATATCGCAATTTCTTGTGCGATAATATTTCGATATATTGCCACCGAAATAATCGCGATAACTAACCGATAGAACCGCTATTTATCGCGATCACTGCTGCGTGGGTCGAAGAAGTGGCTGTGTTTGAAGGGGCACGTAATTAGAATGTGGATGGGAATCTGAGCCCTGACTTTTAAAGAGAGAAGAAAAAAGGTCAGCAGAACGCGCAATCCTTTCAGAATTGAAAAAGTGGTCCTACCAGCACAAAAAATTTCAATTTATCAAATGAGATTTTCAAAAAGTGAATTTTAATTATTCAGTAAGTATTGCTACCTGGCATACAGAAAAGTTAGTGGTGAACGTAAATTCACCGTTTAAGTACACATCTAAACACGATGTATATTCGGCAAGGGTAGTGTTAGTGTTTGCGAGTCCATTCCTCGGGGTCTAAATTAATGGTCATAGCGAATTCTAAATGAAACCTAACTATATCTTTCATACATTAATTTTGACGCTTTTTAAACTCATAAAATGTTACCATGGCAAGCATAATCTGCCTCGATGCTCCATTTTCGCACGTGCCCACTTTGATCCACGGTAATTATTTCCTCCGTCTCCTTTACAAAATTTGTATGGTAGAACCACAACACCTTCCATAACGGACCGTGAGTTGTTACGTTTTTCATCCTGAAATTGTTTTAAATTTTAAATTTTCTTTTTTGGAGAGATGGCATGTTAATGAGTACCTAATTATTAAGTCTACCTATCTACACGAAAGCGTTACAATTGAATAGTATCAGTATATTTATATGGAATCCATATGAAAATCAATCGTTCGTTGTATTTTCAATGTTCCAAATTGAATCCATACGAAAATTGTTTCTCCGAACGTGTCATTGTCATGGACTCGCTATAAGTACGTACGAAGTCCACATGCATGCGTCGGTGCTGTATGGATTCCATAAAAATTATGGCTTCTCTAGGGATGGACGAATATCGAATTCAAATGCGAATATTCGAAACTTTTCGAATGCGATTATTGCGAATAGTTGAGAATTCGAATCTTGCGATTGCGAATAGTTCGGATGCGAATATTCGAATACCTATTTTCGATTATTGCTTCGATTTTTGATTTTTTATGAACCGTGAGAGATAAAATTACACCCTTAGAATGCGATTATTCGGAAATTCGAATTTGCGATTTTGAATACTTCGGAAGTGAATATTCGAATGTGATGCGTGATTATCTCGGTGCCGATGATTCGAATATCGAATATTCGAATATCTAAATATTCGACCATCCCTAATGGCTTCCTTATCCGAGATTCCCCACGAATTTCCTTCCTTCTTTTCTATATGGATGCGTCAATATAGATACTTACCCAATCCCAATATCAATAGGTATTTCCATTTGTATTTCCTTCCACGGTGTCTATATGAAAACAATACCGGTATCCAAATCGAATGCCATATTTTGTTTTCGCATTTTTCAGCTTTGCTAATGGGTTTAGGCACAAGATAGATTCTTTCGGAAGAAACAGCGAAAGTGTACCTCTACGTAGTAATGGATCCGATTTATGCCAAAACTTCAAAAAGAAACCATTAATTTAACAAAACTCCCTCGATATCTCAATGATTGTTTACTTTTGGTGTAGATTCGCTTTAAATTAAGTTTTATACCCTTTTTCACTTTCAACCTCTCAATGAAGGAAGAGTCACTTGAATTTTGGACGCAACTTACTCGTTTAAAATTATTGTGTCAGTCTCTTGAGGAGCTATGTTAATGATGTAAAAGGCTCCGTTATAGCAGCCGACCGCGAGTAAGTTTGGTTGGTCCCTCGAAAAGGATAAAGAAGTCACGGGTTGGGGAATCTGGTACATTCGCTCAGGCTGGCACGGATTTTTGACGGACCAACAGCAAACAAGTCCGTTCATGGCCTCGCTATAAAAATATTTTCCGTAACCCACAGCTACGATGTTCTGAAAAAATTGAGACAGTTTGAGAGCGGAAACAAACATGGAAAGAGGAGAATAAAATGACAAGGCAGAATGAGTGATAACACCTAGACCTACCCTGCTAAAAATATCCCCTGGGGATTTCACCTACCTAGGCGGTTTTGGGCAGGAGAATAATTCCCCTGGGAAGTGGCTCCCATGAGGAGTGGCTCCCCTGGGAAACTCCAGGCTCTGTAGCCAAAATTCCGTCTCTACTAGCAGAGCCATAGAAGAAAAATATTTAGGATTATATACCTACACGAAAATTAATGTGTTCTGTTGCCAAGGCATTCTTCAGACTAGGAAGGGATACTTAGCCACCACACAAATCTCCGCACCGCGGTCATTCCCGAGCGATCTCCCAACTAAGCACCATAACAACGCCCGACGTTGCTTAACCCCCTTGATCGCCCGAGTGCCGCTGCCGTGGAGCTTCGGAGGCTCGCGTGTTCTTCGAGTGTAATTTAGGAACCATAAACGTCCCCAGCACCGACTAACCTAAGTAAATAAATAGATAAATTAATAAATAAATAAAATAGATTAAAATAAATAAATGAATAAAAATTAAAAGAAATTAATTAAAACTATAAATAAATTAAATAAAATAAAGAAGATTAAAATAAACAATTAATAAGTAAAATAAAACATATTGTAATAAATGAATAAAATAGAATATGTTAAAGTATTTAAATAAAATAGAAGTTGTATATCGAATTTATTCGCCTCCAAAGCATCTTTTGGTTATAACGCACCTAAAAAATATGTAAATTAATAAAAAAAATAGATTGAAAAATAAATAAAATAAAAAAACAAACCGAAAAGCCGGATGTCCGCCAACCGATCCTTATAGCTACGGGACGCGGGGAATGGAGGGGCGGGACTGAAGATCCCCAGACTCCCTTGGGTGCACATAGGACCCTTAGTTTACTCCCCTGGGAGCACAGGAGATCCCCTGTCATTCCCTTAGAAGCACAGGGGCTTTCCAGTCTATTACCCAGGGGAGCACATGTGATCTCGTGTCAATTCCCAGGGGAAATTATTTATCAAGGTATAACTTGTAAAGCATCTTAAGTAGACGAGGATGCAGTGTTTTGTCGCATTGTATCCGTTCCCAAGTTCGGTGACGTCTTTGCAGGACATTGGTGAGCTGCAGTCACATATGGGCCCGTGGCATTTCCCCTGAATTTTTATGATGATCCACGAGACACCGTGAGAGGTCCCACGAGAGCACATATGGGTCACATGCACACTCCAATGGGATCACATGGGTCACATGCCGGCTCCCAGGGGAGCGCATGGGTAACATGTTAGCTTCCAGGGGAGCACATGTGATCACATGTCATTCCCCTGGGAGCACATGTGATCACATGCCATTCCCCTGGGAGCGCATGTAATCACATGTCATTCCCCAGGGGAAATTTTTAGCAGGGTAGGTACACGCATCAGGGACTTAAAATTAGCTCTTGCTGGAAACACGTGACAGTCGCAAGTACCAACCCTCATCTATACGCATAAATTCCACATTGATGCAACAATTCGTATGTATTCCATGAGAAAATCATATGGATGCCTTATGGGCTCCTCTTTCGTTTGGATGCGTCAATATGGATACCACCACAAGTAATGGAAGCACCACAAGTGATTGACCCCTATTATGGAGTCATAGAGTCTAAATATTTGAAATATGCGGCCTTGTAGCAATGAAGCGCTTTTAGCAAAATTGAATAAATGTTTCCTGATTTCTGTTTTCCAATTTTCAGTAAGTAGTAAGAATAATGATTCATCTTATTAAAAAAAATATGCATACCTTAACTTACTCTCCTAACTAAAATGGCGTCAATAGGTCTTTGTAAGTAGCATACAACAATTTACCTCGGTTTAAGTTAACCACGATTTTCCTCCCCAAATGCCTACAATTCACAATAGCAGCCATGATATGATCATCTCGGGCTTCGATGTTACTCGTAGCGGCTACACGCAGTGTTATGTGTCATGTGAAGTATGAGTTCATTCATGTATCATTTGTATATTTTTAAAACAAGAGCTTTTGTCGTATATACTTACGTGATTGACTTTGTTCCAACTCATGGCTGTTATTGTACGGTTTAGTGTCTCAGAATTTCTAAACGACCAAATTAAGCTCATCCTGTATCAAAACTCCGTCTGAAACTCTGGGAAAAAACACAGGGAATATTTATCACTGAAACACAACATATAAATATAGGGTGATCCAAAAGCCCCTTCCATCCCCTGGTTTTTACCTAATTTTGAGGTAAAGATTTGAAACTTAGGTGATGTTCGGATGTTCTTAGGTCAAAAGGAGCTACTTTTTGGCACCCTAAGATTTTCAGGGATGCTCTCTGAGGAGCCATCGAACCTCAACTTTTTGATTTCAAAGGGAAAAAACCGNCTTCGCTCCGCGCCGGTTTTTGGGGGGGCTTCGCCCCCCAAGCCCCCCTGGGACGCGCGCTTCGCGCGCGTTTTTTAGTTTGAGTGTCCGGCCTCAGTTGTTGTGTCTGGTAAGTGACCCGCGCGTCCACCGCGAGAAGAGTGTATTTTCCGAAGGGAGGGGCGGGGCCAAGCTTGAATGACGATGAATAAATCTCCATAACCCACTGTGCGACCACATTGCCGTCTTATCCACCAATTTTCAGTTCGTGACCCATTGTACGACAACATTGCCGTCTTATCCACCAATTTTTAGTTCGTGACCCACTGTGCGACAACATTGCCGTCTTGTCCACCAATTTTGAGTTCGTGACCCACTGTGCGACAACATTGCCGTCTTGTCCACCAACTTTCAGTTCGTGACCCACTGTGCGACCACATTGCCGTCTTGTCCACCAATTTTCAGGTCGTGACCCACTGTGCGGCTTCCCTCCTCTTTTGCCGCACACCCCCGCCTAAAACTTTCGAAGCTCGCCATTTTTAAACGGCTTGACCGATTCCGCTCAAATTCAATACCAGCCTAGAACTAAGTAAGATCTTCCTTCTGTAAAAATTTCGAGGGGAAAGCTTTTAATTTGCGCGAGTTATCGCGCCCACAAAATTGAACCTCCCCCCACTTCTCGCCCCCACCATTCGAAATGTAATACTTCGATCTCTGTTTTTTTTCGCAGAATGGTAGTCCTGTTCCTCTACTTTACATCGCAAAAAGTTTCACCCGGAAATTTTTTAAAATGAGGGAGATATAACCCAGCAAAAATCGGAACAACCACGATGTGTCGGAAATACATACATAAATAAACAAACACACACACACACACATAAGTATATATATATAAGTGTATATATATATATATATATATATATATATATAAAGATAAAATGGCTGTAATATTTATAGGAAATTTACCTTATTTATTCAGCTTGCAGCCATAAAAAATCGAAACATTAGTTCCTACGCATCCGTAACGTTTCGCCCCGCATGGGGGTCATCCTCAGGCAGGCACACATTATAACTTAAAAACTATTCATAAAACTGATCGATTGTCCACGCGAAATGTTAAAATCGTCGAATGTCTACGCGGAAAAATAAAAACTTTTAAAAACACGAGAACTAAAACTACAACGGTGGCCACCACGAAACTCCGACTCGTATAACTGCTTGAAAACTGACTATAAACAAAGAGAGCCCGTCACCGCGAGGAGTAAATAGATAGCACACGTAAACAATCAGAAGAAAGCACTGTACGCCGTGCCCAGTACATCGGTGTCAGTTCTGAAATTAATGGAGTTTGAGCACCGTTTAATCTGTATGGCTTCATGATACATGGCTAATGTTTCGATTTTTTATGGCTGCAAGCTGAATAAATAAGGTAAATTATATATATATATATATATGAATTCAAACGGCATGCATATTCGTAATCTACGACCCATGATCGATGCTCATTACATGGTCTTTGGTCCAGGGCTGACATCAGGGGAGAACGCAATAGTGTATTTCCTTCGGAAAATACACTAAAAGCTCCCCCACACCCGTGTGACACCTCGTTAGAAAGGACATAAAAAAAGAAAACTTTTTGCGCAAGTGGAAGTCAATCCCTGAAAAAATTTCAAAATGGCGGCCGGTTAAAGTTCAGGATGATCGGAGATTGGCCAGTTGGGTTTTTCCCGATACGTAGATTTTCCGCCAGAATCTCACTATCTGGAGGAATCTGGACGCAAGAAAAACGATCTTAACGTTCTTTTTCTTTGAACGACTTTTCAAAATGGCGGCCGATCCCCTATAAAAATGGACAAAACTTGGTTTTATTTCAAAAACCTAACCTTACATTCGTTTTCTTAATGCTGAGATACACGCAGATACCAAGTATCAGGCACGTCCATCCGCAAAAAACCGATATGCCAATTTTTGGTCATCTTGAACTATAACCGGCTGCCATTTTGAAACGGTCTAAAATATTGGCTCGGGGTTGCGCGAAAAATTTTCTTACCTATGCTGTTTTGAACAACACAAGAGGGATCCTTCCGTTTGAAAATAAAAGTTGGGGTCCGTTCCTCCCAAATTGTAGGGGGTCCAAAGAGCAGCACCCTGTGACCTAGGGACATCCGGCAAGTTTCAAAGCTTTACTTTAATTGGGTAAGAAGTCAGAGGGGTTAGAAGGGACCTCCGGATCACTTTATGTGTGCCCTCTTTCAAATTTCACGAGTAAGACGACCTGCACAGCAGAAGATCTGGGAATCAATTTTTTGGACAAGATTCAAGTGTTCACGCGTAACAGTGGTTGTTTCTATGGTGTCGCTTATTTTAGGCATTCCTTTAATGAATTTTTTATATGTGAAATCAATTAAATGACAAACAACGGAGGACTAACTTTTTTATTACACAGTAGTTATTTTAGGTTACCGAAAAAAGACTAAATTTATCGAATATATGATGCTAAAACATAGTTGTCAAGTTAACCTGTAATTTCGATTACCTGAATACTTTCCCTAACTGAAATTTCATTCCGATCTTTTTGAGACAAAGTTTGAAACCTATTGCGAGATAAAGGTTTTGTAAATAAATCTGCTAACTGCTCTTCTGTGGCGAATTGTTGAACCTTAAGATCTTCTTCTGTGACTCTTTCCCTGATGAAGAAGTGCTTTATCCCAATGTGTTTGGTTCTTCTATGAAACTCAGGATTTTGAGCGCACTCCTTATTGCAGATTGCACTGGTGTAAGTTCCCATGTGCCATTTTCTTCTAGAGACGTAAGTTCACTTGTAATGGCTCTTTTCCATTCTTCTTGATATTTACTGTTTATAGCTTCTTCATAAGTTACAGGTTCATCTTCTTGAAATATTTGTAAATTTTCAGCAACTAAAATTTCTACTGCATTGCTGTTTCATGCATTTGAACACTATCACTCGCAAAATTTTCATCGGCATCCTTTCCTTCTATTTTCTCGTTTTCTTCCTGGAAAATGGTTGTTTCTGAAACTTGAGTGTCAGCCCCTTTTTTTGATTGATCAGAGATTAATTCAGTGGATCTATTATTGCTCTGACATCCAAAAAAATTTTCTTCAAAAATGACATCTCGTGATTAAATGACTTGCGCTCTTTCTTTTATGTAAATGCGATAACGTTCATCGTCGTCGCACCCAACAAGAAAACCTTTTACGGCCTTTTTGTCCATTTTCTTGCGTTTTGCATCTGGAATATGTGCTTGATATGTTGATCCAATAATTCGAAGATGCTTAATCCTGGGCTTTTTACCCATCCAAACATAAGGACTTTCGTTTTGCACGGAAGACTCTCCACTTCTATTTAAAATATAAATGGCTGTCTTCACTAATTCAGCCCAGATCGCATTCGGAAAGTTGACCTCAGAATTTGAATATCTGAAAGTTCGCGCCGTTTCAACAATTGTTCTAAAATCTCTTTTACTAGAACCATTTTGTTGAGGGGCATAAGGAGCTGTCAATTGCTGTTTACAGCCGGAGGCGCCAAATTCAAACTTGCGTCCTCTTTGATGAGACTGGACTGTTCACCAATGAGCAGAGGTTCTCCTACCATCTAGGCACTAGGTTTATAGGGCTCAGAACCAACAGTTTACCGATACCCGGCATTCTTTGATTTTTACTGCCACTAGGGAGCAAGAATCAAAGACCTGCTTCTCCGAATAAACAACTAAAAATTGATTTTACTCTACTGTAGGTTTCGTAACAGACTTCAAATCTTCCTCATCACTTGACAGTGGTAATTTCCATCTCTGGAAACACGTTTTACGCCATATATCTATCAAATAAAAAAACAGTTCTACAATGTAACTCTTTTCTAGGATCATACTTTAAGAGAGTGCAACATGGTTATGATGAATTCTATTTTTGTTAAGTAAATTTATACTTTCTTTAAGAAAAACATCACTTAAACTTAGAAACATGTCTTATTATAGATTCAAAATGTTAGACAATTGTGAATTTACCAAAATCACGTTGGTAGCCGGAAACCGTGTACCTTCCTACATAATTGGGCTAAGAGATCACGGCTCGGATCACATTGGTGTTCAATATTTCCAAATGCTTCGTCGACGAGACTTGAACCTATTTTTTCTTAACAAAACCCCGGAACCCTTAAAAAAGAACAAATCTGACAGTGCTAATTGTAGAAAATCATATGACAGAATCTTCGTGATAAAATAGATTCTTTTGGGTTATGAGATTATATTATAACTGATCTGTTCGGTTGAGAAAATGCAGTAAAGCTGTGGTACTTTGTCTGCGACAAGTGAGAGAAACAAAGAAAATTACTTAGGAGCTCACTTTTTTGTTTTTGAAGGCCCATAAACAGAGCCTGTTCCTCATGAAAATTATTGGAGGCCAGTAGCCGCTGCATGATAGCAACAGCACGTTTACATTCAGATGCCTGAAATATTTCTGCATCGTTGTGGCTACCTGACGTTCCTTTCAACCGCGTCTCAGTATCTGAAAAACCAAAAAAAAGTTTTTTAAATTAATTTTCTCCATTACTTACGTCTATCTTTGCTTTTACCGTAGATATTTTCTAATTCAACGTACTTTTGCATTCTCGTCTTTTGTCAGACCTGGAACAATAGACCAAGTAATGGAGGTGGCCAAGATCAGTTTCACGCCGATGAAATATAATTCCCGAAGTCAACCATTTACAAAATCCCAATAAAGTCTACGTTGGATGAAACTTAGAGATCAGCCTTTGATGAATTTAAAGAATGAGAAAAAATTCCCCAAAAAAAGTTTAGGAAACAATTATATATTATATTTATATAATTTATAGTATTATTAAAATATGTTCCAAGAAACAACTCACCAGCATCGGAAGTCAATTTTCGGTAGGTGTCATACAGGTCCCATTCAGTCGCAAATACAAGTTTGTCCTGAAGGCAAAAATAAAATGTCATACGTATCGGAAAGTGTGATATTCTAATTCAGAGTAGCAGGTATACCTATCGCGATAGCTAAAGTGCGACACCACGTACCTCCATTGCTATGTTTCAAAATCTGTGCTCCTAGCATATTGTTCCGAATATTGTTCCGAACAGGACAATACAAAGTGTTTCAGACCACCCGTACCAGGCTTTTTTCTCAGGTGTTTTAGGTCGCACGAAGTCGGGGACCGCGGGGTTGAATAGGGAGTTGACCCCAAGGAATCCGAGTTTCGTGGTCCCGAAAACCCCCATCCCCCCTTAGGGGGTAAAGGGGGGTCACGATGCTAAAAGTCACGGTTCCTGACCGAATGGCGGATTAATCGCATCAGAATTGAAACGCACAGAAAATTTCTCGTGAAATTGACCCCTAAAAATCCATAATCGGCCCAACCAAGGCCCAAAAATGCTCCCCTAAAGAGGGGGACAGTACCCCCCTCCATAATTTCTCCTTGGTCTCAAAATTGACGTAGACTCTCCAGAAGAAGATGGTTTCCCAGGTAATGGACCCCGAGAAATCCAAATTTCATGGTCCCGAAGCTCCTCTATCCCCCCTTGGAGGGTAAACGGGGGACCCAATTTTAAAAATCGGGGCTCCTTCCCGAATCGCGAATTGATTGCATCCAAATTGAGAAGCAGAACACATTTACATCTTAAGTAACCCCCAAGAGTTATAATTGACCCCCCCTGAACGGCAGAAAGTAACCCTCTGAGGAGGGGGGCTTCGCCCCTCCAAAAATTTCTCAAGATTCCTCCTTTGTCACAAAATTGACGTCGATCCTCCAGAAAAAGACGGTTTTATATGTAATCGACCCCGAGGACTCTGAATTTCATGGACCCTAAGCTCCACTACCCGCCTTTTTAGGACAAAGCCGTCTTTTTCCGAAGAATCGACGTCAAATTTGCGACCAAAGAGGAATCTTGAGAAATTTTTGGAGGGGCGAAGCCCCCTCCTCAGGGGGTTACTTTCTGCCATTCAGGGGGGGTCAATTAGAACTCTTGGGGGTCACTTAAGATGTAAATGTGTTCTGCTCCTCAATTTGGATGCAATCAATTCGCGATTTGGGAAGGAGCCCCGATTTTTAAAATTGGGTCCCCCGTTTACCCTCCAAGGGGGGATAGAGGAGCTTCGGGACCATGAAATTTGGATTTCTCGGGGTCCATTACCTAGGAAACAATCTTTTTCTGGAGAATGTACGTCAATTTTGAGACCAAGGAGAAATTATGGAGGGAGTACTGTCCCCCTCTTTAGGGGAGCATATTTGGGCCTTGGTTGGGCCGATTATGGATTTTTAGGGGTCAATTTCACGAAAAATTTTCTGTGCTTTTCAATTCTGATGCGATTAATCCGCAATTCGGTCGGGAACCGTGACTTTTAGCATCGTGACCCCCCCTTTACTCCCTAAGGGGGGATGGGGGGGGTTTCGGGACCACGAAACTCGGATTCCTTGGGGTCAACTCCCTATTCAACCCCGCGGTCCCCGACTTCGTGCGACCTAAAACAACCGAGAAAAAAGCCTGGTACGGGTGGTCTGAAACACCCTGTATACAAACAGCGCAGGTTTAAAAGTCAAATTAGGAAGTGAAAGTTACAGTTTTTATGCAGAATTTTCCAGCGATAGAGAAGAAAATCAAATGAGTCAAGAAATTACGCTGACTAGTTTTCCTAGGAAAAAAAAGTATGACTGGAAGTCTAAAACGTCGCAAACGGAGATATGTACGTGCTCTTGCACTTTGGCCATGCATCGATATGACGTATTTTTTTTATTCGTTTACGTCCAGCAAAACTTAAGAATCTCCTAACACTTTATTTCTTCTTCTTTTTTCCATATGTTCTTTCACTCAGTCCATTTAATATAGGTCTGGGTTGTTTAATTTTTCTGCCTGCAGATTTATTTCTGCTTTAAAGTACCTATAAATTAATTCATCTTGCAATCAGCGTAAAACAATTTTATGAGATTGAAGTTGAATTTTGATGTGCATCTTTGGTCCTATTACCTCCTCTGACACCTGTTGCGTCTGAGTCATCTTCTGCTTTTCATTCATTCTGATAATTTGCACAGAGGAGTCGCTACAATGTGTTCCTTTTTCTTTACGGCTGCCAATCTGGAAATAATTATATATTTTAGACAAAATTGAATTAGTCGATGTTATCCACACATGACCACGATCTAGTGAAACCTTGAGTAGGTACAAGGTCCTCCAACCCATCCAATTTCGTTTCTGAAGCTGAATTAGGGATATTTATTTATATACTCTCTCTTGTAGAATTCACGTTTATAGTTTTGGGTTAGATCGTTTGGAGCACTACTATTCTCTGATGTTTCCTCTCCACAAAAAGTGGCTAATTACTCGTTGCTTTATAAATTATAAACTCTACTCTTTGCCTCAAGTCCTTAAAATAGACACAGTCGAATCTTATACACCGTGATTCGGCAATTAACTACAGTGCGCACGAATTATCCATTCATCCGTAAAACTTTGTATTGATTTGTTAGGAGGGAAAAATGAAAGTTTGAATTTTAAACCAACACATTCCCGCTCCTCACTCTTACATACATACGAGTCGCTGTTATAGCGCTCTTTGGCGCTTTGCGACACCTAATCGCCACAAAGCTCGGTCTTCCCACAGGTTATCAGGGAGTTGACACTCCCTCATCTCACTTAACACCCCCTGTCGCCAACCTCTCACTGGGCGTCCCCTACGCCTCCTCCCAGGAGGAACCCAATCAAGCATCTTTTTTGGCAGCCTCTCTTCCGTCATCCTATTGACATGACCATACCAAACAAGTTGTTTGGTCATGACGTCGAACACGATGTCATTTTCGACTTCCATTATCTGACGCACTCTATCATTACGGACCCGATCTCTCCTAGAAATTCCTGCCGACCTTCTCCAGAAATCCATCTCCGTTGCTCTTAGCATATCCTGTGTCCGTTTCTTCAGCTGCCAAACTTCACATCCGTATGTTAATATACTTTTTACTACAGCGTTGTATATCCTCCTCTTGTTATCTTTGGAAATCCGCTGATCCCAGAGGATTCCATTTAACATCGCTATAGCCTTCCTTGCTAAGGTGTTCCTTTCCCTGATAGCTTGATCCGTCCTTCCATCCTGGGTCAACCGCACTCCCAAGTACTTGAAGTGCTCGCAGCATTTGATCTACTGCCCATCCTCCAACTCAATGCTTTGCTGATCACCACCAAAAGTCATCTTCTCAGATTTGGATATGCTGACTTCCAAACCCCACTTCCGATATTCTTCTACTAACTTGCGCATCATGTACTCCGCGTCTTCTTGATCTTGAGCAACCACCACCTGGTCATCAGCAAAGCACAGAGTGATAAGAGTTTCAAGATCACCCAAGGGGACACCCATACCAGAACACTTCCTTTTCCATTCCTTTAGCACACATTCGAGGTAAATTTTAAATAATGTTGGCGACAAACAACATCCCTGTTTTAAACCCTTAGTCACATAAAATCCCGCTGACAACCCCCCATGATACATAATTTTGGTAAAACTCCCTTTATAAAATCGCTTGACAACATCAATCAACCCCCCGTTAAAATTCGATTTTTCCAAGGCCTCCCAAAGTTTCACCAACGGCACACTGTCATACGCTTTCTGGAGATCCACGAAAATTAAATGCAGCTCCTGAGCTACGGCCATTTTCTTCTCAATGACCTGGACAATAACAAAGAGGTGATCTATCGTAGACCTGCCAGCTCTAAAACCAGCCTGCTCCTCTGCTTCGTGATCCTGCCATTCGTCCTCGATCTTCGCTTTCAGTATCTTCCCGTACACTTTGCTTATTGTCCCGGTCACTGAGAGCCCCCGGTAGTTGTTACAGTCGTCCTTCCTTCCCTTCTTTTTGTAGATGGCCTTGATCCAGGACTCCTTCCACTCCCTTGGTACCTCGTCACCCCTGATGCATTGCTGCATCAGTTTCCTGAGGCACTCAAAGAGCTTGGCAGTCCCGTACTTGACCAACTCAACAGGAATCCCGCCAGGACCCGGCGCTTTATCATTAATTAGCTCTTTAACCGCTTTAATTATGTCACAAGTGTGAATCTCCAAGTTGTTCATTCTTCCGTTGTCCGTGCTGCTGTCTCGAAACTCTGGGCGCCTTTCCGTCAAAAGATCTTTAAAATGATCCTCCAGTTTTTTAAGTGATATCGGAGAAACGATGTCGCGCTTCATGTCTCTACGTAAACCTTTAATTAACTTCCAGCTCTCAGCACTTTTTCTCCCCCCTAGGTAGGTGTTAATTCTAGAACAGTTGCTTTCCCAAGCTTCATTCTTCTTCCGTGTTATGAGGCTCCTAACTTTACACTGAGCTTTCCTGTAAGCAACTTTATCTTCAGCCTTTTTAGACGACAGAAATATAAGATGTTTTTGCCTCTTGAGATTTATCTCGTCCTCAATTTCTTCATCCCACCAGTAAGGATGCTGCTTTTTATTACTGGTTTTGCAAATACCTAGGGCTTCTTTAGCTGCAGAGTGGATACAATCTTTAATGAAATGATATTGCTCTTCAGTGGTACCCGAAAGCCCATCCCCCAACTTCTCATCCAAGCGTTTCCGATACAGAGCCTTGACACTAGGGTGCTGCAAACTTTCGATGTCCTCACTCTTACCTGGTCTAAATTGGCAGTATTCATCGATGCAGCCGCCTCGATATTCTCATCAACAACAATGCCAGAGCTTTTGAGGTCCAGAAGCCACGCAGTCGGTGTCTCAGTAAGAAGAAGAACAATGCTGTTAAGGAGTTCTGTTTTGGGTTTCAGCGGCTCACCCACTTGCTTAAGCAGAGATACGACTGAAAAAATAGAATGGAGAGGAATGTTTTTTACCATATTATTTGCATGATATCAATGGATTACCAGACAAGGTGCGAATTCAAGCAGTATGTCATACATGTATGATATACGTGAACCTATGTTCCCTCTTAAAAATTTCTCGCAGAACAACTAGATCATGATGTGCACGACGAAGAAAGTAACTCCTGACCAAGATATAGAATAGAGATTTTTGATGCGTCAATTCAAACTTCAGTCGCGTTATCGGCAAGCTCAGAGACGATCGCTTCTGTGCTCTACTGCTCCTCATTATCTCGACTCCCATCTTATCTCGATTTGTGCTCCGTGTAAGAACAAGTTGTCAAACCGTGCGTTATGTAAAATACGAAATGTGAAAAGTGTATGGGTGACTACATCCTGGTGTCCATACTAGGTGTGGCATCATGGATAAACATGTGACTAGGCTGCGGCTCACAGTCCAGCCACACTCTGAGTTAACTGAAAGTGCAAAAACTACAAATCAAACAGCAGATACTCTAGTTTCTTAATGATAATGCTAATATTTGTGAAATTCTTCGACAAGCAAGCAATGCTGTATCCACTCATTTTAATGTAGAAACGATTGGTCAAGAAGCAGCTCCAATCATTACCAAATTTAAAAAGTTAACCTTCTTGACGTAATATGGGCGTAGGAGTCATTAGGGAAAAGTGAATTGAATATGAAACAAGTTGAGTAATTAACGATGAGGTTTATGTACTTTTGACAACTTCTTTAAAGCTCGTCGGTTTCTTAAGTCGTCGCCACCTCCTAGCGCCAGCTCCGTCTGCTTTCGCTTTCAGACTTTGACTATTTAGCTGAGAGATAAACATCGAGAGAGGAGTTTTCACCTGATAAAGAGAAAAGGATATCAATTAAAAAACGAAAATATGTCAGGTGTAATCGACCAAGCCGGCAAAAGTCACACCCTGAGAGATTACCAACAACCATACACTTCATGTTCCGGGTTGATTTTCTTTTTTTGTACCTACGGTCTCTTGGGTATTTGGTATTGGAAGAAGAAAAAATGACATGCTTTTGACAGTAAATGTATCGAACATCAATGTATCGTCATATCGATTATAGCTGGAATTATATCTATCTATGTCAAACTTCGACTGATTTCAATGTATCTACCAGACCAGATATTTGGCAATGGTCTTTTCTCGATAAGAAGATATACCTACAAATCGGGGTGTTGTACTCGGGAGAGATTTGGAGACAACTGACTAACGCTTATGTTATTTCTTACGAAAAAACTGTTGGTGTATATACAAACACCGTAAGTTCAATATTAAAGCTGCAAAAGCTAAATAAAGTTAAAAGTTGAAACTAAGGCCGCACATTTGTGACTTAGGTCAGCCTACGTCACAACTTGTATGCTATTTCCCGCCCTTTCGATGCACTTGTGTCTCCTCGTAAGGAACCCAAAGTCATTCCTTCAACACGATTATCAGTCAATTAATAACTTCACTAAAAAGAATGTTACAACAAACTTGGGCAAGGTTGATTTAGCATGATGGGCGTCTTAAAAACGGGTACAAGCTTACAGCATCTTATGAGAACATAATAAAAATGTTGAAGAAACATGATATAGTCATGTTAAATCAACATGACTGTAACATGTTGCTATACGAGATCGTCACGCTGACTTAACATGCTGTCATGTTGATTTAACATGACAACATCATGTTGATATACGAGTACGTCTATTACGTATACATGTTTATTAAAATACTAGGGGGCTATGCCCCCTGGCCGCTACGCGGCCCAACCCCCTGAAGGCGCTCCGCGCCATCAATGGGCCGCTCCGCGGCCCTATTTTTACCCTCCTATCAGTGTTAGTTTTATTTTTCCCCTAAAAAATTACGATATGAGGTATACTTTAATTTTAAACTTTACTTAAAATTACTTTAAAATTAAAAGGACGCGTTTTGAAATGACTGCTTGATGAATTATTGCAGTAAAATAATGAACAATGATAGTCAGGTAATAATCAGCTTTATCATGAGTCGGGAATCGAACCCACATCGAGTTCATAGTAGACGAATTCGACGTCTTAGACGACTCGGCCACCGCTCGACATGAGGATGTCAGCACAAGTCTTGTGTAGATAAGTGTAGAGCTGATGCGTAGGCTACACAGCTACTGCGCAACCTCCTCGACCACTGCGCATCCTTCCGCGCATAGCGGTAGCAGTACCGGATCATTCTGTAAACTCACTCAGTTTTATAACGTGTTTTTAAAAAAAACCTGGGTCCTTTTTCCAAAATCTGATTACAGCGGGCTCATCTAGGGCCTATTACCTGTCGATTTACGCAAAAATCATGGAAATCGGCCCGGTAGAACGCTCAAACGGAGATTTCGCAACTTTACCACGTAATATACGAGGCTCATCCAAAAAGTAAGTTCACCCCTTTCATATCTCCGAAACTAAAAGGGATAAATCAAATCGGTAAAAAATAACTTCTTACTTATAACCTCAGCTCTCCATAGGTACCAAGATTTTTTTACGTGAACAACTCCCGGCCAGTTCCGTCCACCAAACGACGCGCAGATATGAGATGCACCGCGCGCTGTCGCGTCGCTTTTGTCTTCTGGGACTCTCAAGGAGTACTTCTCGCCCATTATTTGGAGAAAGGGTGTACAATCAATGCACCTCGGTATTGAGGAATGTTGAATTCGTTGCGATTGGCAATAAGAAACAAGCGACCGGGTCTCTTGTCTCGTGGTCCCCTATTCCTTCACGATAATGCCAGACCTCACACGGCGAAAGAGACCCAAAATTTGTTGGACAAATTTGCGTGGGAGGTGTCACCTCATCCTTCATACTCTCCAGCCCTTGCCCCGAGTGACTATTATATTTTTCCGCAACTCAAGAAGCACCTAGGTGGCCAGCGCTTCGAGAACGATCAGCAGGTGATGGAAGCAGTCAATGGCTGGTTCAAGAGTCAACCAATAGTGTTCTTTGAGAACGGCATTAAGAGGCTTCAGAAACGCTATGAAAAATGCATCTAAAGGAACGGAAATTACGTCGAAAAATAAGGTAAGATTGTTTTAAAGCCAATCTTAGAATATTTGAGTTGGTTATTCCTACGTAGGTGTGTGGGGAACACAGTCAATTCAGGTAGCGTGACGGGAATCGCAGCGCATCGTTTGGTGGACGGAACTGGCCGGGAGTTGTTCACGTAAAAATCGAATATCTCGGCAACCAGTGGTCCAAATTTAAAAATCTTGGTACCTATGGAGAGCTGAGGATATAAGTAAGAAGTTATGTTTTACCGATTTGATTTATCCCTTTTAGTTTCGGAGATATGAAAGGGGTGAACTTACTTTTTGGATGACCCTCGTAAAAAAACCTGGGCAATATTTTGAAAATCTGAAAAGAGTTGGCTTATCTAGAGACAATTGCCCGTCGATAGCCGCAAAAATCATGAAAATCGGCCCGGTAGAACGCTGGAACTAAGCGTTACCACTTTCGCAAAATTAGGAGGTCTTGGACCTTATAGTATAGATAGAGCTGATGCGCAGGCTACCCAGCTACTGCGCAACCTTCTCGACCACTGCGCATCCTCCCGCGCATAGTGGTAGCAGTCCCGGAGCATTCCGTAAATTCACTCAATTTTATAATGTGATTTTAAAAAAACCGGGGTCCTATTTCCAAAATCTGATTAGAGCGGGCTCATCTAGGGCCTATTACCTGTCGATTTACGCAAAAATCATAGAAATCGGCCCGGTAGAACGCTCAAACGAACTATGACAAAAAGTATAAGTTTACATTGTTTAAATGGGAGAATTCGCAACTTTACCACTTAATATAAAAAAACCTGGGCCATATTTTGAAAATCTGAAAAGAGTTGGCTTATACTTTATGAGCGTGTAAAGTATGCTTACTTCTATAGTTCGTGTTCTCCCGTAATTTCAAAAGAATACCTCAAGTGTTCGGACGAGATATCGACGGTGAAACTACCAAACCACGTATCTCGTTTGCGGTATTTAAAAATCTACGCTCACATTTTATTTTTTTGAAGTAGACCAAATCAATAACATTCCTTGAAATTTTCACGGAATTTTCTCCGCACAAAGAGGAAAAATCACAGAAATTTTCAAGACTAGATGTTAAGTATTTTTTCATTTAAAAAATAAAGTATGACAGGAAGTCTGCGACGTCGCAAACCGAGATACGTGGTTTGGTAGTTTCACCGTCGATATGTTTATTCAGCGTGAACATTCGCTACCGTTTCATGTGTGAGTGTGTGTCTCTCTAAAGGATAATTCTGTCTACTTGCACATATCTATGGGATATTCCTTTCCTCTGTCGTTCATTTGGAACCGGTCAGTTGATTTTTACCTCTCATCTTTTAAGAAATCTTCTTTTCCTGAAAATTTTGCCCAGTTATCATTCGCTAAGCCGTTTTCTCCTCTCTGTTTTGAGGTTAGGTTGACCCAACCCTACCGAATGCGAATTAGAGTAGCGGAATTAGTTTCCAGCACTAATAGTGGTTAGTGTACAGAAACCAAAAATCATGTGTGTCCAAATCACACAATTTGAGTTAGTATATAGAAACCATTTTTAGTCATCTGACGCTAACTCATTTTTTTCAGTGTAAAGTTGTAATCAGTTTTGATTGCAACTTCGTACACAAGGACGCTCCCGATGTTTTGCGAGTTCAAATCCAGTCAAGGCATCAGTCATCTGCAATCCACACACTTTGGGTTCAGTACCATAGGACTGGCATAGGACTAGCCTTGGTGCTGTCAGTGCAAAGTAAGGTCAGTATAATCAAAGAATTATAATTATGGAATTTTAAAATCCTTAACGATTACGGTTCATTTAGCCACAGTTTATTTAGCCACGTGGCAAAATGCAACAAAAAATGTTGCATCGTGCCACAGATTCTAGGTGCGATGTGGCTAAACGAAACAAAAATTAGTGTGGCAAAATGCAACAAATCATGTTGCAGTTAGCCACACGACCAAAGGACAAAACCACGTATCTGCATTGCAGCGTTACCGAACCTAATCGAAACGAACTTGACCTAACTTTACCTAACCTAACATAACATAACCTAACCTAACCTAACCTAACATGACCCAACCTAAGGAAGGAGAGATGGACGCATGTGGTCAATAATTTTTCGGATACTTTCCTATTAGTAGATTGTCATGTATTTCAGCGTAAAGTAGAATCAGTATTGCATTGGTCACTAGGTAAAATTATTACAATAAAAATTGGTTTCAATACGAATGGTATTTATACTTTATGATCTATTCCAGATCTTCAATATCATAAAATCACTAACACTGCAGTAAAATAAAAATGGGAAGATAAATAACACTTTTTTTCACGGAACTTGGTGGCCATTCCGAAGACTGTGGCTAACTGCAACAATTTTTGTTGCATTTTGCCACGCTAATTTTTCTTGTTTCATTTAGCCACACAGCACCTAGAGTTTGTGGCAATTTGCAGCAATTTGTGTTGCAGTTCGTTTTGAAAGAAGAATACCTAATGAGCTATCATCAACTTAAAAATAATTGTTTTTGTCTCGTTTGTGAGTATTATTACCATACAGGGTGAGCGAAAAGTCCCCGACCCCCGCCCCCCCCCTCTAACTTTTGAACGAATTGAGCTAGGGAAATGAAACTTTGGGAATGTTCCTATCTCAAAGGGAACCATCAAAGAACATAAAAAACTAAGAATTTTGGCGCAAACCGCAAATGAATATCTTAATTTTTGACCGAGTTATGATAAGTCAAAGGTCAAATTTGACCTATTTTCAAAAAATCATAACTCCGATTCAAATTATCGTAAAGAAAAAAATAAAACGGGAAAATTTACCAAATTGTGTCCGCTTTTAAGTAAAAATTGCAAAAATTACTTCCATTTAATTTCAAGGGGGGCTCGGACCCCCAAATACGTCAATTCAAAGGTCATTCAATTTTCCCGCGAAATAGCCAATTTCCCCTGGATTTGCCCCCACATTATCTCAGTAAGGTCAAAATCAGTTCAACATTACGTTGGCAAGTCCCCAAATTTCGGGAAAAGTTAAAAAAAAATGATATTTAAACGGTCAAACTTACTTACCTTAAATTTCGT